GACCTTGTTCTGCTGGAGACCTAGGGCAAACACAAAGTCAAGGCCGTCTCAGAAGTACAGGTAGTATGCCCAGTAGAAAACATTGGCTAGCATAAAAACCAAAGGGAACAGTAGTTTGGAATATCGATCAACATTGCTGGGGTTTTGAATTGTGAAATAATCCACAATCCTGCCCATCTTTTCTCGGAAGATGAACTTGAACTTGTCGCTGGTTTTCATTGTCATGTTGCTGTAGTCAACATTGTCACCCGAGATTTCAATGGTGGCAAAGCTGATCTTCCGCTTAAAGCTGGAGAGGGAGCTGTTGATGATGTTAGTGATGTTGACTTCTTCCACCTCCTTCGCCGTCCCCCTGTCCTTGGCTTCCATCTGTTGCAGGGAGCTGTAGTGAGCAACAGCGTACTCCACCAAGGCCCCAAACACAAAGCTAAAGCAGATCCCCAGGTACACGTTGATGGCTTTGATGAAGCAGTTGGTGTTGGGAAGAGACATGGGGGACCCGATCATCAGTGTGGTCATTGGTAACACAGTGGTCACTCCGATGCAGGTTCTTGCAGGGACAGAATCTAGGGAGATCCAAAATGAAACCCAGGACAGCACCACCAGGAAAGTGGAGAGAACATAGGTTTCCAGAATGAAATACAGGACATTCCTCCGCAGCTCAAATTGCAAGACCAACCGGGAGTAATTTCCTGTCTCCTGCTGGGACCTGGTGACTAAGGTGAAGTAGCGTTGTATGGTATACTGAGCAAGTCGCAGGTTTTCCAGCCCTCGCACGGAATCATTCCCTCTCAGCCAGGTGAACACCACGTCATTTCCATCATAGCCCCAGCTCTCCAGCTGCAGCTTGCAGGTCTGCGTGTCCATGGGGTACTTGGACAGGTCCATGTTGCATGCCACAGTCGTTGTGATTCTGAGCGCATACAGGACTGTGCCGTTGGAGAAGAGGCGGATGAGTCTGTTTCCCACAGTGACTTCGTGGAGGAAGGACTTCCTGGACTCCACGATGTAGGTGTCAGGCACCCAGAAGAACTCCACCAGGCGGGCGTCCAGAGTGAAGCTCTTGTTGCCTTCAAACACCAGCCGCGGGTCTGTCCAGCGCTGTTGGAGGTATATGGTGGCCGTGTAGTCCATGTTACTCTCGGAAATACTAGAGATGCTTGCGATGTCCAGAGTCAGTGCTATCTGAACTGGTTCTCCACCAAAGTTGGGCCTGAGAAATTTGTTATATCCTGCTGTGAGGTTCTCAAAGCCAGGCAGGGAGAGCTTGTCACTTCTGACCTCGATGTTGAACTGGTTCCCCTGGACGCACATCCTTGGAGCCAAGAGGCTCAGACACACGAAGGTCAGCTGGAGACCGTAGCTCATCTTGAGGAGCTATCCACACAGACAGGGTCCGAGTAGGAATCACGGGCAGTGAGAGGCTCTGTTAGGGCAGGGCCTCGGGGCTTCCAGGCACGGTATGCAGGCAGGGCATGCTCTTCTGGATCCCAAGGATTCCCTCCATCTCAGCCCCAACTCTTGATATGGGATCACAGCCACTCTGATGGGGAAGCCCTAGCTCCTCTCTTCACATTCTTAATTGTTTCCTTTGCTGCGCAGAAGTTTTAAATTTAATGCCATTCCATTCATGAACTCTTGGATTATTTACTGAGTTTAGA